AACTGTTGTTACAGTGTGTGTGTGTGTGTGTGTGTTCATCAGTTAATGTGACGCACACACAGCCGGTGAGCAGTGTGTGTCCTCTCTGGTATTTCTGATATGTACACAGAACAAAACACGCACATTTGTTCCTCCTCACATGAGCGCACACACATACACAGGCATGTTTAATGGACTTTAGTGTGTGTGTGTGTGTGTGTGTGTGTGTGTGTCTGAGAGAGAAAAGGAAACCCTCGCTCCTTATAAGGAAGAGGACGAGTGAGGCTCAGGCTGGTGCTCTCTGTGCTCTCTCTGCCTCGGGCCAACACACTGAGCTCTGGGTTTGGATTATGGTAGTTTAATGTGATTGGCTGTTACACTGTAAATAAAAACAGGAAGTCAAACGTGCATTATTTCCCTTTGACGTTTGAAGTATCAGCAGACTGGAGTACTCTCGTGTACTGGAGTAAATGTACTTGATTACATTAGTAACTGCTCCTTTTTCTTCTTTATGTGTTTCCACCCTGCAGGCAGACAGAGAGGCGGGAGGTCAGAGGTCACAGAGGTCAGAGCAGCGTGTGAAGCTCCTCGCTTCATTGGTCGCCTGAGCGATCTGAAGGTGATGGACGGCAGCAGAGTCACCATGACGGTGGAGCTGAGCGGTAAGTGTGTGTGTGTGTGTGTGTGTGTGTGTGTGTGTGTGTGTGTGCGCGAGCTGTGGTATTTCCTGTCTGATCTCTGGGGAGATGGAGGAGATGCGATGAGGGCAGATTTACTTCTTCGTTTCCTCTGAGTGTTGTTGTTGCTTTGATATGACAGCACGCATTGTTTCTGAATTATGAGTTCATTATGAGTCCCCACATTATTAACCCTGCAGTGTGCGGTGTGTGTGTGTGTGTGTGTGTGTGTGTTACATAATGATTTTCCACACTGGGTTTTCTTCTCCATATAAGCTGTGTGAGGATCAGAGGTGCTGTTGCTTCTCTGCCGACTTCATCTTCCACACGAACTAATATCGACCACACACACACACACACACACACACACTCACACGTGACACACACACACCACACACACACACTACACACACACACACGCACACACACACACACACACACACACACACACACACTGACACACACACTCCTCGTGCTATGGTACGAAAACTTTTCTCGTGCCCTGGTACACTCAGACACCATGTGCCACACACACACACAGCACACGACACACACACACACACACACACACACGACACCACTTGGCACACACACACTCCAGTCCATATGGTACGAAAACTTTTCTCCGTGCCCCTGGTACACTGTGCAGAAACACCTTGCCACACACACACACGCACAGACACACACGCACACCTCTGACCTCTGACCTCTAGATGTTTTTCTTACCCAATCATTACACTGAACTCCCCTGAAGGTCATACTGACGTATTAATAAATAATTGTACTTACTAAATGTGAAAAGTATTTAAACTAATTTTACATCCACAGCTAGAGTTAAAGCAGCTTTACTGAAGCATCCGTGAAATGAATCAAATAACAGTGAATTTAGCTTTAAATCACTGACTGTCTCTAAATAATGGCGGCTGTGACGGTACTTGACATAATGAGTCCTGCAGCCAGACGTATCTGGATGAGGTGATGGAGTGCAGACACAGATACCTGCTGATCAGTGCTCAACGTCCAATCACAATCCTTGAATTTCACTGTGCATCAAAACTGAAGCTCCGCCTTCTTGGATGGTCTGTTGGTACAGTGACCTCACAGCAGCCATGTTATTGGTCAGATGATGTCATTAATAATGCTCCAACTGCACAAACACAGCCCAGAGGTCCAGTTCAGGTGAAACTAGCAAACAGTTAGCAGCTACAGCCGCCTGTGTCACCATCCACCTGTCAGTCAAAGAGGCCACGCCCCTAATAACAAATAAACAGGTGAGTTATAAAGACCACCTACCCCTGTACAGGGGTTATGAAGGTGGATAATTATCCATGAAGACCAATCAGTTCGTGTATGAGGCTAACGTCTATGAGGACTGACTCACTGCTGCCTCTGCTGGATTTCAGAGGAACTGCGCTTCCAGTCTGCCTTTTTTTAAAAGTACTTTTGATTCAACAACACTAAAATGTAAATTAAATAAACAAAATATTGCCACTCCTTTAATTCTCAAAAATACTGCATATAATAATTATAAGTAAAAGGATCTTTGGTGCGTACTGGTCTTCACTGATGTGTCCTGATGTTTGAATGAAGCTGTGTGTGGTCCTCAGGTCACCCTCCTCCAGAGCTGGTGTGGCTCCACGATGGGCAGGAGGTGACCGAGTCAGAGGACTTCCAGCTCCTCAGAGAGGGAACCCGCTGCACTCTGCTGATCCACGAGGTTTTCCCCGAGGACACCGGGACCTACAGCTGCCAGGCCTGGAACCAGTATGGAGAGGACCAGACCCAGGCCCGGCTCACGGTGGAGGGTATGCTGCAGTTGCACTGAGACCTGAGTGACACCAGAGTGGGGATTTTTGCAATGTTCACAAACACAACAATTACAAACCCACAGCCTTTCTGATCCTGATACCAAATCCACCTTGGCCCAAAAATGTGGTTTCTGTTTTGTACCCTTTATTTGTGTTCTCTTAGTTTATTTTTGTCAAGCTTTTGGTTTCTGTTTTGCATTTCTTTTCCTCCCCGTTATTCTTGGTGTTTGATTATGTAGGTCTCAGGTTTTGGTTTCCATACTCTATTCTGTGTCCAGTCAGTGTCTGTGTCAGCCCTCCAGGTGTAACTGAGGATGTCTGTGCTGCAGCTCAACCACTGACCGATCAACTTTGGTGTCATTGTGTTCACACACTATCTACAGTGTATATGTTGGGTTTCCTATGTGAGGCTCAACCACACGACCTCCATATAAACCCAGATTTATTATTGTGGTTTTCTGCAGAGCCTCAGGATGGCGTCCAGCCCTGGTTCATCACCAAGCCCAAAGAGGTGAGCGCTGCTGTTGGTCAGCATGTTCTCCTGTCCTGTGCCATCGCCGGAGATCCATTTCCCCAGTACACCTGGACCAGAACCGACCCGAGCCGATCTCTGACCTCCGGAGGCGACTATGAACTTCTGCAGAAAGAGGACGTCGTCTCCCTGCTCATAAGGTTTACAGTTACACACAAACCACACGCTCTGCAGCTAACCACACCTGATACAGCTAACTCTGTTTTCTTCTTCAGACGGGTGAAGAAGGAACATGGCGGAGAGTACCTGATCAGCCTGAGGTAACAGATCGACAGGCGCAGATACTGTAAACACTCACATGTCATAAAAAGACACAGATTCTGCAGACATGCTGAAATAATCCCAGATGATCGTCAGTACAGAGCTGCAGTGAGGATTACACTCACAGAGGAACCACCAGCCCTCCCCCTCCATAATCTATCCATCCATAACCTCATCATCCACCCCAGCACATACAGCAGTCTGCATCATATTCAAAGCATGACTATGTAACATGAGAATAGAAGAGAAATGTCCTTCTGCTCATGAAAATCATACGTGATGTGCTGGTGCCAGTGAACATGAAGAAACTGTGAGAGACGGTAAAGCTGCACTTTACTCGAAACACAAACCAACATCAAGGAATTTAAAGGTGCCTAATGGTTGGCCAGACTGAAAAAGACAAACAGTTAATCTATAAAAGTAAATATCAGGTTTTCCACATCATAATGTGACTTCTTCAGAGACTGAAGGGATGACTGAGCATCAAGACATAATGTGATTAGTGCTAACAAAGACAACAAAGACAACAACTTCCAGGGTAATTTCAGTCAAACGTTTATGAACATTGTTGATCAGGACCAGTGGAGCCTACCTGGTGTCTTTTCCGCTCTTAAAGGGAAAATGTTATGTGCCATTAATGAGAGATAAAAGGATCAGTTTCTCATATGAAGTCTGACGTTGCAAATAGCACAGTGCAGCAGTGCCTGAATGAAAACACCGCTGTGATGAATCAGTGGCGTGGAAGTGGGAGATGGTCTTAGTGCCTGTGAGAAGATGAGAGAGTGCTGCATGTAGAAGATAAACTTTGTGTTTCAGGAACAGCGTGGGCGAGTGCAGCGCTGTGGCCACGCTGTCGGTCACCGAAAGACGAGAAAAGGACAGGAGAGGACGGGACGGCAGCAGGTGAGACCTCACTCACCTGGACACCTGCAGCTGGCTGAACAGGGCGGAGTCAGATTTCTGTGCCGTATGAGCGTGATTGGTTGAACCTGACGAGTTTTTAAAACATCTCGTTCCCTAAACAGACCTCTGCATCATCAGCATAGAGTCTGACTCCGTCAGCCCCCCCCCCCCCCACTATTCCCAGCTCTCTGTTCCTGTTTCCACCCCCTCCTCACACCCACCCACCATTCCCTCCATCCTTCTGTTATTTATCCAGAAATTCCCTAAAGCTTCTCTAATCCGTCCATATCACCCCGACCAATCAGAGCCAGTATTTCCTCTGTGTGTTTACTCTGCTGCGAGTGTTTGCTGGAAGAAACCCCGTTTGCTTTAGTTTGATGAAACTGTGAAAAAGAGTCAGCAGCTTCAGAGGAGGAGGAGGAGGAGGAGGAGGAGTGTGTCCTCAGTCTGCTTTTTCTTTGTTTACATCTGTGTGTGTGTGTGTTCCCTCTGCTCATGCCCATATTCGGGCAGTTGAGTCACTTGTGATGTAACATGAACAATTTGAGTCGAGGTCCCCCCCCACACCTCCCACCCCACCAGCTAAGACCTGGGGGGCGGAGCTTGTCCTCTTGCTCTCTCTCTGTCCCTCCATCTGTCTCTGTGCTTGTTCATCCAGCCTGGCAGCAGCAGCAGGAGGAGCAGGAGGAGGAGCAGCTGGTGGGAGCGTGGTGCTGAGAGGAGGTGGCAAAGGAGGAGGAGGCGTGGAGCAGAGAAGCAGCAGCAGTGGTGTCAGTCGGCAGTGGCAGGAGGCCAACGAGGAGCAGAAGGAGAACTGGCAGCTCCCGCACCTGCACAGAGAAGAGAAGAAGAAGAAAGAGGAGGACCAGACCACTGCTCCCAGAGGCCTCCTCAAACGCTGTGTGGAAACCAGGGAGCGGGGTGAAGAGGAGCTGCGGCAGAGGGAGGCGCAGCAGCTGGACTTCCGCTCGCTGCTTGGACGCCGAGCCGTTCAAGGCAAAAACATCCAAGAGGGAGACGAGCAGAGGGAGGCCGGCCCCGCCACCGCCACCGCCACCACCGAGCACAACCAGCGCCACCACATGGATTTTAAGGCCAACCTCAAGGGTGTCAAACCCAAGAGCGAGGAGAAGGTGAACTCCCCATCGCAGGTCGACTTCCGCAGCGTGCTGGGGAAGAAGGGCGCCGCAAGCAGCAACAGCAGCAAGGCCGCAGAGACGCCCACGAAGAACGCCGGCGACTTCCGCTCTGTCCTCGCCAACAAGAAGAACCCGACGGGCCCCGAGAAGAACGGGGAGAAGGCGGAGGTGAACAACTGCATGGATGGAGGGATTAATGAGAAGAAGAGCACCGGAGGAGGAGGAGGTGCGGCGCCGGAGTTTGTAGAGAAGCTGAGCGACATGACGGTGCTGGATGGTCAGCGGCTCCGGCTGCAGTGCCGCCTCGCCACCGCTTCTGATGTCACTGTCACCTGGACGCTGGACGGGAAGGTCATCAAGGCGTCCAAATTCATCATCCTCGCAAACGAAGGTCAGAGGTCACACACACAGCACAACAGGAAGTGAAAGGTTTTCTAACATGATTTGGTTAAAAAGGAAGGAGGAGGGTTTTGTTTACATTTCACAGCAACCCCGAAGGCTCTCTTTGAATTCAAAGAAACTTTATTTAGCAGTACTGTTTGTTTGCGATCATCAATGGAAGTGATCAGAGTCGATTAGAGCCACTGAATTTATTCAGGCTGAGAAAACAGAAAAACCCCTCAGATTAAAGACGACAGAATGAGCAGCGTGACAGGGAGGCGGAGCTCAGGAGGTGAAGCTGTGGAGCAGCGTTGGTGGAGTCGGTGGAGGAGCTGAAGCAGCTGCTGATGGAGGTCTGAGGATTGAGACTCTAATAATAGAACGCAGATGTGAAACAATAGAAGCAGGATGTGATGTGTGACCGTCACTGGAATTTCATATGGAAGCAGATCACCACACACACACACACACACACACACACACACACACACACACACACACACACACACACACAAACACACACACGTATTACTGTACTTGTGAGGTCCGGCAGGGATTCATTCATCAGTTGAAGGGACACTCTGTCTGTCTTAAACTGTCTTCATGATGTTTAGTTACGTCTCCCCGAAGCTAATCTTTAAAACTTGTTCAGTAACTTTGAACATGCTGAGCAGAACTGTCGTTCATGGATTTGATTGTGAAGACAAAAAATGTAAAAAACAAAGTTTACTTTAAATTCAGTCTGGACTGTTTTGTGTTTAGCAGTGATGGTGATAGTTTTACTTACTTTAGACACGACTTTGCTAAAATTGAGTTAGCGTGATTGTTCTAGCAGTAACATTAAGAAGGCAGTGACAGTTAGCCGCACTGCAGGAATGTAACATCAGCTGATCAAGTAAAAACGAGAAGATGGACGCAGCCGGTGCTCAGCTACTTTAAACCTGTATTCTTTCTAATCTCCAGTAGGGGACAACTCCTCTGGCAGTTGTGTAAACGTCGGAGTGTGTGAGCCTGCTGCCCGCCTCATGTTTACTTTGCAAATGAGGACCTTATTATCCGGTCGTTAAGTGATGACGTGACGAATCCTACTTCCGGGTCTAAAGTAGTCTGCGTTTAATATGGCTTTTGTGTTGTTAACATGTTTAATGTTTTGTATTTTCTTCTATTTAATCTCAAAAAGCTCCTAAAACAGTCAGTGATCACTGTTGACCTCCCTCGGCTTTTATTACCGCTAATCATTTATTTAAGCTCAGTTTTTAAAACCTTAGGATGTAACTACAGCCCAGCCCATGCAGCAGTATATGAATGACTAACCTCGTATTGTGGATGGATTATCTCAGTTGTTCTCCTGGCTGAAGTTTGGTCCTTTTACAGCATCCTGCCATGCGATTACATTTGTTCCTGACCACCGAGAACACTCACGTTAACTTTTATCGAGTGGAAAAAAAGTTAGCTTGTTTATATTATGCTAACATAGCTGTGTCGCTAGCGGTCACGTAGCACATCATTATATACCAGCTAGCCCAACTTCAGTAACCCTACAAACGTCACTGCTGTTTAGTTTTCTGTCTTCATTTATGTTGGAAGTGATAGCAGAGCTGTACGTTTTAATTTGTTTCCAAAACCCCGCAGTCAGGACATGCTATATTGTATTTAGATAGAAGCTAGCGAGCTAACTCCCTGCTAACTTCTAACTCCGTTAAATGTCATAAATTCCGTTTTCATGGATGCCTGGATGTTAAACTCAATTGTTACACCTGGTAGAGCAGAACGCTGATCATTTTATTAAAGATGAAAGACTTTAGACAGTTTTTCAACTCTCAGTAATGCCATAGTGATCGTTTGATATATGGACCTGCAGCGGAGTTTAGGCCCAGACACGGCTAGTGACGTCAGACTGAACAACCGGATAGCGACAAAGAAACAGGAAGCAGGAGATGATTGAGTCATTAGTCAATGAGCATGCAGCATGTCGTGTAGATCCACGCCGTGCTTGGATTTTGTCGGGCTCGCCGCTCTGCTGAAGTCACCCTCACTGCTTCTCCTCCTCCTGATGGTCGAGGGACACTTTGAGTTCACTTTCACTTTCAGCAGCTGGAGCAGCTGTCACAATCTTTTCTTCTCTGTGCCGTTATCAGCGGCTCCAGCAGGAAACTTTCATTAACAGGAAGCTTTCAGCATGGATGGTGAAATAAATACAGCAGCCGTCAGAATCAGACTGATGGCTCACATTTATAAAAATAGGCAGACTCACCCTTTAAGAAAGAGCCTGAAGGTCCTCACAAGCATAGAAACACACACTGTGATGTCCTGTAAAGACGTGTGTGTGTGTGTGTGTGTGTGTGTGTGTGTGTGTGTGTGTGTGTGTGTGTGTGTGTAATAATAATCCCTCAGTGTGTTATTTCAGTCTGGAGGACAGCCCCTGGTTGTGTATGTTTATCCTGCAGAGTGAGGAGTCTGTGTGTCACATGCTAAAGGTCAGAGGTCACATACATGTGTCGGTACAGATTTAAAGGCAGCAGCATGTTTATGATGAACTCAGATCTTCAGTTTCTGCTCTTGTGGTTTTGTAGGCGTCGTTATAAAACGACGTGATCGTTGGCTGAAGGGTCGTCATGACGATAAAACGTCAGATCAAAGCGATCCTTTTCCAGAAAGTGTTCAGAGTGTTGATTCAACGAGTCGCAGCAGCTTCCTGCCTTCTCTTCACGCTTTGTTGGATTTGGTGCAGATCCCCTCAGCTCCAGCAGGGTGGAGGGACGACAGATGTTTTCTCCACAGATGTTTAAGACGTTGCCTCGGTCAGGTCCGAGCCTGTCAGCTGTAAGGACCTCTCTGACTTTAGTTGTCATCCTCCTCTTTTATGAAATTTGCAGATGAGATTATGAGATCGTAGAAACAAGCAGTGGAAATGAGTTTTCTCCAGATGGTGTTTGGCCTCGTCATTACTGATGTGGTGAGGAGGGAATCAGAGTGGAGCAGCCGGCTGAGGCGGTTCATCCAATTTGGACGCCTCCTCTGCGAGGTGTTCGTGTCCTAGTGGGAGGAAGCCCTGCGGCAGACGCAGGGCATTCTGGAGAGATTGCATCTCTTGGCTGACCTGGGAACGCCTCGCTGTTCCCCCGGGTGAGCTGGAGGAGGTGGCTCACAGAGGGAGGTCCGGGCTTCTCTGGCTAGGCTGCTGCTCCCCTGAACCAGAAAAGGACAAGAAGATGGATGGATGGTAACTCAGCGCCACGATAGCATCACGAAGCACAAATAAAAAGGGTTAGGGTGAGGTTGAGTGTTGGTCGTGTGCAGGTCGTATGAACGTCACCTCAGATCCGTGAGTTTCTGTGATAGCTGTGCTTTGTCACCAGGGGGCAGTGTTAGAGACTCGTGTTGTTGGTGAAACTGTCCATCACCCGCCGACCTCTACGAGGGTTTCTTTGACTTCACGCTTCAGTTTTGTCCCGTCCTGTAAACTTCAGGTTCCCTAAACTCTCGGCTGGCCGATCGAGTTTTAAACATCTCGGTTCTGATTGGAACAAACAGGACGGAGGCGACCAAAACAACAATCTTTTAAAAGATTTTTTTAAAACCATCTTTCAGGTCACAGAGTCGGATTAACAGGGAAAGCTTTTATTTTCACTGATCAAAGTGAGAGGCAGAGGAGTGTGATGCTTGTCCTTCTGTCTGAAGCAAAGAAATGTTCTAACACGTGTTGAAGGAAGAAGAAAGCTTTTCTGAAGGATGCCGCATCGGCAGCGGAGGATGGCCTTTAGTCTCACATGGCGTCTAAAAGGGTGGAGAACGTGATGCTCTGATAGCTCGTTCATAGTAAATGAAATGTGGAGTCATACCTTCATTTTTATTGATTAACTTTGTGGAATGTAAGAAATGAGACTTGACCTCGTGCTGATCTGACTGTGTCCTGTGTAGGTTGTGTTATATTGTGCTGTGTTGTGTGTTGCAGGCGGCCTGTGCTCTCTGACCATAGACAAAGCCCTGCCAGAGGATGAAGGCCAGTATAAATGCAGAGCCGAGAACTCGGCAGGCAAAGCCGAGTGTTCCTGCACGGTTCTGGTAGACGGTGAGAACAAAGCTTTGGTCCTGTCTCAGATCTTTCCTTCAGTGCCGCATGTTCTTCTTCTTCTGCTGTTTTTGTTCTTCTGGTCTTTCCTCTACAGTTATTCTTCCTCCTGCATCCTGATGTAGATGCAGGTTTAAAGCATTCAAACTGTGGGAGAAACTTTAAAGTGTACTTTTGTTGTCTGAATGAAGATCTGAAATGTATCTGATATGTTTGTCGTAATCTGTCCTAAACCAAAGAGCTTGTTTACTTCCTGCCGTGTCCACGAACATTTGTTGACTCCGTCATCAGCGCTGACTCTCAGACACCAACCGATGAGTCGAGCCTCCTGAACACACGACTCTGTTCAGCAGTGCAGCTCTGCTTCTTTGGAAAGATCACACAAACATCAGCATTCATGGGTCATGTTAGCCCCGCCCACTCTCTTTGATGGTCGCTGCAGTGGTTTGGACTGGAAGAGTGATGCAGCAGAAGCTGCAGCGCTGGTCAGCTGGGTTTCCTGTCATTAGAACCAACGAACACAAACACAGTTTGACTTTATCAAAGATTGGCTCCTGTTTGCAGACGAGTTAGCGCTGGTCGTCAGGACATCAGCTGTTTGTAAAGGGCTTAGTCAGCTGGTTTTAAACACGAACACCACAGACTCGGTGTGCTGTGTCCAGAACAGCACGGACGCCGTGGTCCAGCCTGCAGCACGGACGCAGCCGCTGTTTCAGGTGTGTCTCAGTCCTGTGGTGCTCATGGACACCTGAGACTGAAGCAGCACGAGGACACTCGGCTCTTTCTTTGCTGTGAGCTAACATGGCGAGGACAGAGGCAGAGTTCGCGATGGAAACACGATGAACTGTGCTCCACCATGTGCTGTGAATCTGTGATGTTGTGTTTGGACAGGAAGTCAAGGAAGTGACAGCAGTGACTTCCAGAGAACACAGAAAGTGTCCGGCTGTGTGAACACTGTGGTTCAGTTCTGAGACCTCCAGGATCGTCTCACGCCTGTGCACCGGGTCCGTGCAGACAGCACCCAGAGACTGCAGCCTGACGGCCCATCAGACGCAGCATGTCTCACTGCAAACTAGAGCGAAGGATCCAAAATTTGTGTTGTGCTGCGCTCTGCTTGTACGTCATTTTTGCGACTGCTCTACATATACGAGAAGCGCCTGCACCTTGTCGCTTCTAAACGTCTTTGACTTTGTGTCCTCTACGACAGTTTGTGTTGTATTATGTCCAAACCTTTAATAAAAACGTATCCCTCATCCTAAAGAAGAAAGCTTTGTCCTGACTAGTGAAGAATGCGTCGTTTCCAGAACGCTGCTTTCCCTCTGCAGAGCTGTGCAGTTCCCCGTACGTGCACGTAAACCTGTGACAAACAGTTCACCGAACTCAGACACGCACAGAACGCTTTCCTTCATTGTGCAGTTGAACTTAGTTTCTATTGATAGCACGAAGGTGCGACACACGCGAGTACTGCGCTCTGCTGCACCTGTGCTTGTGCTGCGCTGGAAAACCGTTGCTCCACGAGGCAAACAACAGACATGAATGGGTTTCAGAGCGCAGCGCTGTGCTGCGTCCGATGTGAAAGGACCTTAACTCAGGCTGGACTGAGTCCCGTGCACGCTTACATGTGTATGCCTCCTGGTTGTTATTTACGTACCTGGGTTCTCTGAGTCTGAGCAGTGACTTTTTTGATAGTTGAATGCAGCACCGCGCTGGTTTCCCTCACAAAAAGCCGGTGGCATTTTTCTGCACTCACACGACTTGACTTGAACTTCTGTCGTCTCGCTGAGTCTCACTGAGCGGCGTGTTACCAAACACCCTCTCTGGGTCCACACAGCATTCAGTGAATGTGCTCAGTGATGTGTGTCATGTCGGAGAGCAGAATGTGAAATGTCTGAGCTCTGTAAACACACATTTTGTTTTTCAGTTTGAATAAAATATGAATTTTCTGCAGGTGAACGCTCAGTGTTTGCCGGAGGGTTTCTGATGTTTGTGTTGGGGTTCACGGCTGTGGAGCTCTCAGAGAGCACCTGAGTGTGTGCACGTGTTAACTCCTCCCTCTCTGTCTCTCTGTGTCCTGCAGACCCGGCTGAAAACTCTCCGGCCGACAAGAAGTCCAAGAAGGCGACTCCAACCTCAGAGAGTGAGTTTCCAAAATATGCAGCAGCAGCCTCTTTCCTTTTGTCCCAATAAGGAGCTGCAGGCTGGGATCACTGGTTCCCACACACACACACTCAGGCGGGTGTTTCTATTTTAAAGAGTCTCTGTGTATCACTGGAAACATCAGTTCCTTCATCACTGTCACATTATTATTCCTACCTCCAGAGCAGTAAACCTTCATTAACACTACGTTTCCCATCAGCCCTGCTGCTTCCCACATACACACACACACATGCACGCACACACACGCACATGCACACACGCACCCACATGCACGCGCACACACACATGCACGCACACGCACATGCACACACACACATACACACTCCCCCTGTAGATGATAAACATGTTCAGCCTGGAGACGTTCCTTGCAGGGGTCACACCTGTGCATCATGAATGAGTCTCACCTGGAAACAAACTGTGCAGACACTGTGGGCTAAAACACACAGTCTGCAACAAACAACAACTTTTTGGTTACAAGTAGTAACTTTGTTTGTTTTGTAGCTGTATCCTGATTGGTCAGCTGGTTTGTAGCTGTGTCCTGATTGGTCGTAATGTTTCTGTATGCAAAGAGATAAAAGTCTTACTTTGGTAGAAATCCTAAGCTCACTCTTCAGAATAAAAGAAAGTGTTGTTGCTCTTTTAAAAGTTTCACCTTAATGAAAGGTTTTGGGTTTTAAACAGGAACATATTGTAGAAAAGTTCCTGGCTGTACTAACAGTTGAAGTCAAAGCTACGATTAATAATTATTCACTCTGAGTAAGTTGTGTTGTGTGACCAAAATGTTTCTTTCATGAAACAATCACAATAGAGATACAAATAAATGAAAGGGTTAAACATTTCCTTATTGGATGAGACGTTTCTGGACTTGTTGTTTTCTTGCTCTCCGTATCTGCACAGCGCTGAATGTGTGAGTGCTTGAACAGTAACTTCATACAAAAACACTCTGACATGCAGCAGCTTCATGTTTCTGTCTGCAGCCCTCAGTGGAAAATCTGCTCTTATCTTTATGATCCAACTCTAAATCCTTCCTGCTCAGAGTGTGTGTGTGTGTGTGTGTGTGTGTGTGTGTGTGTGTGTGTGTGTGTGTGTGTGTGTGTGCATGCCTCAGTGGGCTCACTGCTGTG